GGACTCAAAAACGCACCTGCCGCATTCCAACGGATGATGGATCAAGCCTTACGAGGATTGATTGGCAAGATATGCTTTGTTTATTTAGACGACATAGTGGTCTACGGATCTACTATACTATACTATACTATATAAAATTCGCCAATATTTCAAAAAAAATCGCAAATTGTCAGTTTACAACGAAATTCTATATTTCTCCCATATTTCTGTCAAGATAAAGTTTGGGACAGATTACAGCGATAATTACTTATTAATTTAATATGGAGAGAAAAGAGCATAGAAAATTGCAGAAGACACTCAAACTCAAAATATTTCGGTATAATTCGAAGATATATCCAAAAAATCGCAAATTTACGTCATTTCACAGTAAAATTCATTATTTCGTCGATATTTCTATCAAAATACCATGTGTAGAACAATTTAGGGTGATAATTGTAAATATGAAGAGAAAACGGAGAAGAAAATAGCAGAACAACATCAAACTCAAAATATTACGGAAAAATTCATCGCAATATGAATAAAAATCTTTTGGGACAATATACAGCGACAATTACTAATATGTAAAGAAAACTACAAGGTGATTCGAGAACACACTCAAAGTTAAAATATTCCGACAAGATAAGAAGATATTTCAAAGAAATCGCAAATTAACGTCAGCATACAGCAAAATTCAATATTTCGTTGATATTTCTGTTCAAATAGCAAGTTTGGGACAATTTACCGCGATAATTACAAATATCAGTCTTTCCCGAACAATCTAGCGGATCGGACATGTTTTGTCGCTCACGATGCCAATCCAATTGTTTTGATTGCTAGGTAACTCTTGCTGTATATAAGCTCTGCCTTGAAAATAGAATAATACATAATACACTAACGAGTACTTCGACCACAGAAGCCCAACCATGGAAACAAAAACCACACCGATTCGAAACCAACCGAAATCTTCAGACATACAGCCTAAAAAGAACAGTAAAGAACAGGCAATTATAACTGATGCCATAGACGGCACAACCGTAAAGGATTATGTAATAGCCGTAGAAAAAACCACTGGACTTAACGCCATCCACTTTGCATCCCGTATATCCAACGACAGAATTTGTCGAATCTATTTCGACAAAACTACAACAAAACAATTTACTAACAACTACAAAACACTTAACATCAACAATACGAACACCACAGTCAGACTCTTGTTAAATCCATCACAAAGAATAATTTTATCTAACGTTTCTCTTACTATACCCCACAAGTTCATGGAAAAATTCCTAATGGATAAAAACATAAAAGCAACATCCAAACTCACCTTTCTTTGCGCACATAATGAGCTTTGGAAGGCAAATTTACGTAGATTCAGACGATGCTCAAAAAATCATTCTAATAACACATGACAACACACAGTACCGAATATTCGTTTCCACCGACAAAATCAGTTGTTTTTTATGCAAACAAGAGGGACATATTGCAAAATAATGTACCTTACACACCCAACCAACAATGTCCAACTTAACAAATAATAGAGAAACCAACAGGAACGACATACCAAGAGAAATGTGACAGACATTATCCTCCAGTAATACACAAGAACCGCAAGCATTCCATGCAAAAACCAAACCGAAACAGAAAACTAAGAAAGAAACAAAATTTTCAACACTATCACTACCGACCTACCTACAATTAATACTAACAACACATGATCACCAAAGAACGAACACAGAAATATTTAGATCCCCTGCCACTTACAAAAGATCACTATCAACCTCAACTGAAAGCCAGTCAGATGATGAATGAAATTCAAAAAAGGTGACAAACAACAATGACCCAAATCCGGAAAGAAATCCCACAACCACCAACATAAAAAAGAAACCAAAACGTAGCCAATCGCTTATCAAAATCATAGAGCAAATGGATGATCTACTCAAGCCAGTCAAACAAATCCTAGAAGATCCTACTAACTTTGTGCTCAACTACATACAACTCGAAAGT